TGGGGTGGGGGGGGCGGTGTTTCCAGCCGGGGGACCTCGGGGTTGTCAAGTGGAAGGGTACGAAAAACACAGGCGGAGGAAAAGGCACGGAGACGGGCGGGCGGGCTAAGTGTCCTTTCGTCCGTATCCTGAAGAAGATAAAAAAGAGATGCTAAGGACGTGAGGAAGGGGTGGGAGGGTAGGGGGAAGGCACCATGCCAGCCCGCCAATCCCCACCCACCCAGCCGTCACTTAACCCACATTCCTGTGGGTGTGTCTGTTCTTAGAATTCTTAGACCCACCCAAATAGCATATTGACTGCTGTTGCTGCACACTACCTTCGCTATGTGTTAAGGATTTTTTTAAAATCAAATGGCATTTTGAGATGTTTTTGGTTCCCTGTTCTCCACACGTGCTGTAGGTGTCTTGAATTGGCAACCCCACCTGCCCCACATCTTCGCCAGCCTCACCGGTTTCTTCGACGTGCCAATCGGCACCTCAAGGGCCGTCGGCGATATCATCACGCGCAGTACGCCGGGAAGGGCTTCCGTACTGTTTGGAGACCAGGTACGGCAATGCAGTCCATGCATTGCAGTCCATGCAGTCCATGCATCCGTACTGTTTGGAGACCAGGTACGGCAATGCATGGACTGCCTTGGGGTATTTCTGCATGCGCGTATCCTCAAATTTGGGAACTGGTTTTTGGTTTCATGAACTGGTGGGGAGGCCACCGGGGGCTGGTGGCGGGATGTGGTGGTGAGGGGGAGGAGGGGAAATGGTCGTCCAGACTCTGTCTTTGACTGGTTGAGGTGTGTTCCCTTTTTTTGTGTGGTAATAGTAAGAACTTTTACAGCAAGCAACAGACCCCAAGGGAATAACCCAGGCCGCTGACGTAGCTGCAAAAATCTTAGGGTAATTTTGATGATGATGGTGGTGGTGGTGGTGGTGGTGGTAGTGGGAGGGGTGGTAGGGGTGCGACGGAGGCAACGGAGGCGGCGTGTAACTTGTAACTGGTATTCGTATATTGTAACATATTGCATTATGTTGGTCAAGTTGATTATGCTTTTGCAAGTGTACAGCGGGGGCCCCCCAACCTCCCAACCCCCAACCTCCCAGCCTCCCAACCCCCGCAAAACCCCAACCTCCCAACCCCCCCAACCTCCCAACCCCCCCAACCTCCCAACCTCCCAACCTCCCAACCCCCGCAAACCCCCAACCTCCCAAACCCCCCAACCTCCCAACTCCCGCAAACCCCCAACCTCCCAACCCCCCCAACCTCCCAACTCCCGCAAACCCCCAACCTCCCAACTCCCGCAAACCCCCAACCTCCCACCCTCCTCACCCCCCAGATGGGCTACGGCTCCTTCCACGCCGCCCGACTGGTGGTCCACCTGCTGCGCTGCACCGCCGACCCCCAGCGGGGGCCCCCCACTGCCGCCGCCGCCGCAGCCGCCGCCTCGCATCTGGAGCACCTCACATCACTGCTGGAGCAGTACTACCACCCCTCCAATACGGGTGAGGGGGAGGGGGAGGGGAGGGGAGAGGCAGGCCTTGGGGGGGAAGAGTAGCGGAGACCAACACATCAGGAACGAGAGCGATAGCCCCGAAAGCGATAGCCCCGCGCATCAGCATTATTAGGTGTCGTGATTTATATACGATTTTGGACGGTGACAATGACAGTGTCGTACTGAGAATTGTGACAGCAGGCGGGGATGTCTGGGGTTGGGGGTTGAGTCGTTTTCGTTGCCAGGGACTTCCTTATCACTTTGCCAGCTTGAGACACACATACCGACATACACTGACACACGGCCTCGCGAATGGTTTCCCTTTCCCCTTCTCCCGGTTTTAGGAATAAGTCCCCCAGGGCCCCCCCCCGGAGTTATTTAACTAATTTATTCCCCCCCTCCCTTCCCTCGCCTTCAAGAACGGCTATCGGTTAGTCCTGCTCTTGGTACACTCTTTCCTTGGCAGCAGCTTCACTCGTTCGTGGTTCGTCTTTTCCCCCCCCCTTCCCCCCGCGTGGTTACCCCGCGGATCCTAACCAGGCAAGTGGTGTCGGGATCTGGGTACCCTGCTCAAGCACCTGGTCAAGGCGGCGGTCAAACAGCTGGAGAGGCAGCAACCGCCGCCGCCGCAGCCGCCATTAGCCGCCGCCACCGCGGCTGACGGCAGGATGGCTTGTAATGATGATGAGGACGTGCATGGTGGTAATGATGATGACGACGAGTTAGCTGATCACGAGTTCGAGCTTTTGCAGCTGGAAGGTGGCGGCGACGGCGGCCAGGGCTCCCCAGCGGTGGCGGCGGTGGCGGCGACGGGGGTAGCGTCGTCTCGGCCGTGGGTTTCGGAGCTTCGCGAGGCGGAGCTTCAGCGGCTTGCGTCGTGCTGTGTGACGCTGGCGGCTCGGGCCCAATTCTCCAAGGACTCGGGTGAGTGCTGCGTGTCTCATCTCTGTATGTATATCTTCATATGTAGCTTTCAAATACAGTTGAATGAATGAATGAATGAATGAATGAATGAATGAATGAATGAATGAATGAATGAATGAATGAATGAATGAATGAAAGAAAGAAAGAAAGAAAGAAATGCCCCTCGCCCCACGAACACCCTAGCCAAGCATATACCCTAGCCAGCATAGGCCCAGTGATGCGTGGGAAGGAAGCAGGGGGGGGGTAGGGTTCCATGGACATGCCACAGGGGCCCTAGGCTGGCCCATCTTGGACGTCACTTGAATGCGTTACATGCGATTGCCTGGCTGCTAATTTAATCTCATGGCGTTGTTGCCCATTTTCCTCCCGTGGCCTAATCAGGCATCTCCACCGTGTCTGTCAAGGCGTTGTCGCAGCTGGCGCTGGTGGCGCCGGGTCGCGTCCTGCCGCTGGTTCTGGAGCGGTTCCGTACGGCACTGGCCACCGCCACGGCCACTCACCAGCTGGTGGCGGCGACGACGACGCTGGCGCTGTGTGTACGGCCGCTGTTGTTGGCGGGCTGGGCCGCGGGTGGCGAGAGTGAGGGCGAGGAGCGAGAGACGGCGGCGCAGGTGCGTGTGAGCGGGTGGAGGGGGTGTGGTTTGTGTGTTTTTGGGGGGCGGGGGAGGAGGAGGAGGGTTGAAAGCAGGCCCGACCCGGGCTCTGCCACCTGGGTGATGACTGCGGTAGTAGCAACACAGCGTTTTGATATTTATTAAAAATCCAAGTCTTAAAACCCCGTGAGCTCATCTCTTTTAGGTTTGCAAAGCCGCCGGGTCCCCTGACCCGCTCCTGTTTGTGATGAGAGGTGGTAATGAAGGTAGGTAAGAGTGGATGTGTAAGAGTTACTACGTTCACTATCGCGCGCGCGCGTGTGTGTGTGTGTGTGTTTTACCCCTCCCCCCGGAACTGCCCCCCGGAACTGCCCCCCGGTACTGCCCCCCGATAACCCCGATACGCAATGACCACGGGCGGTGCAACTCCCGGGACGCGACGGTTGTTCATCGGTTTTTCCGGTTGTCGGTTTGATTTCGGCAACACCACTACAGTTGGTGTCCGAGGCGCTGACGGCGGTGCTGCCTGGCTTCGACGCAAATGACGAGCCCAAGACCAACGCCGTACTGCAGCTGTACGTATCCGCGATTTCCTCGCTGCCGCGGTTGCGCGGTGCGGGGGAGGGTGACGAGACGGATGAGGCGGCGGCGGCGGAAGAGGCGGAGGAGCATTCGTTTGGACGTGCTGTGCAACCAGCCGGCGGCACAGGCAGTACCGCTGCAGCGGTGGCGCCGATGGGCGTCGACGCCGCTGCCGCCGCCGCCGCCGCCAACAGCGGTGCCGCCGCAGGCGGCAGCAGCGGCGGCGTTGGTGGTGAGCTGACTTTATCCCTCTACGTGGAGGAGTGGGCGGAGGAGGTTTTGGAACGGTGCCTGGCGTTGCTCCAGAACCTGGATTCGGGGCCGGGCCAGGGCGGCACGGATATGGCGTCCAGAGGCGGCGGCAGCGCCGCCAGTACGAGCTCCTTCCTGACGAGGGTGCGCGGTGGTGGTTGGTTGAGGTTAAGTTGTTGTTAACTTGAAAGAGTGTTGGCACGGGAAGAGAGGGGTAGTGGATGGGACGTTTTGGGGGGGGGGAGAGGGGGGGGAAATGGTACCGGACACGTTGCGCGCAGGGGTTGTGCTGATGTACGGCACTTGTTGTACGTTACAGCTGTGGCCGGGGTTGTGTGTTTCCTAGTTGACCCCAACACGGGCAACAAGCGCGGCCGCCGATATTGGTGATGCTTCTCTGGCGTTAGGGCAGTTGTGGCTGGGTAATCAAGAGACGCAGCTCAGATTTCTCACCGTACGATGTCCCCGTCCCCTGACATAACTTGTTGCTCCTCTCCCCCCGCGCCGTCGCCGGCCCCCTCTTACACCGTCGACCGGCCTCGGTGCCCCCCCCCCACTGGGCCCTATCCGCCAACCTTACCCTTCCGAGCCATTGACGTCTGGGTTTGCTGGGACCTCATTCTCTCCCTCCCCGCCAACGGCAGCTGAAAGGCAGTGGTTTCAGAGCTGTGTGTGTGTGTGCATGTGCGTATTTATCACCCCTTAGCAGTAACAGTACGAGTAGCAGTAGCGGCGGCAGCAGTAGCGGCGGTAGCTGATATCACCGCCGTCATCATCGCACCGTACCACTCGGGATAGGCCCTCCAACCGCCCGCCGCCACCACCGCGGGTGCTGATCTCTTCGCCTTCGCCTCCCCACCGCCCGCGATCCCCCTTTTGCCCTTCTCCATTCATCCCATCACATACATACATACATACATACGTACATGTCCCCTCCAGCCGCGGTCTCTATTTGGGCCCATGTGGCAGCTGCTCCTAAACCAGACACGTCCTTCAGTACGACGCCACCTGGTTCAAAACCTCAGTAGTTTCGTACTGGGGGGTGCAGCTC